CCCGCATCACCATGCACGGTTTACACACGGATTCGTTCAGAATGATGCGGCCCGCACTTACGGCATGAAAACACATGTTCAAGAGCGCAGGACACCGCTCTCGAGCGCCAGCCGATCATTATTTGTTCACGGCCGCTTCGGGTGTACCAGCAAAGGTGTCGTGAGATTGTCCCATACAATGGGCCTCTGATTATTTGGGCTCTTGAGGTCCAAGTATTGTGTTGTGCGAGTGGTTCGGTTTAAAGCCACGCTTCCGTGTCATTTTTCAGACTGGGATGCCGTAGATGTTTGTTTTCTTGGTATGAGATGGATTTGGTGGGAGTCGGCAGACCCTCGTTTGTGGCAAGGGCCGCCCCTCAGTGCTCCTCAGCGCCCCTTGTCCCCTTCATCGGAAGTTCGGAAGTCCGCTCGAGAGTGACGGGGAGGCGCCTGTGCGAGCGGAAAAAATTAAAGGCTGAAGGCATTTTGAGATGCTGGAGAGTACAGAAATGGACAGGGCCCATCCTGTTGGGTGGTTCGATCAACAGACCATTGCCGAGCGGCGATGCAACCTCCCTTGGGCACAGGGCCTGCCCCCGAAGCAGCAGCCAGACAAGCTGGGTTCGCACTTCGCCAACCCTTCGCCACGGCCACCAATTCTGGTGGACGATAACAACGATGGTGGTGGCCAACGCCCCCAAGCTTGGGCGCGTGCAAAGCCAGACTTGCGAGAAGTTCAATGTCTTTTGACCCAGAAGGAAAAACAATAGCAGCAGCAGAGAGGGGACGCCAGACCGACGGGGATAGCAAGACACAAGACGACATCACCACAAGCAACGGAGGCAGCCGTGCGAACGGAAAGCCGGCTCGAGCGAAGGTGATCCTAAGGTGTTTCGAAGTGCATCACGGTGCGAGTTGGCGTGAAGGCGCTTCGAAGTGCATCACGGTTGAAGCAGAAGCCAAAATTGAAGGGCACAGAAATGGAAGGGGTTTGCTCTGCAGGGTCGGTGAACAGCACATCGTTAAGCGGTGTTGCAGGCCCCGCTGGGCACAGTCCCCCGAGCAGCGGCCAGGCAAGACGGGTTTGCACCTTCGTGCTTTGCTGAACTTCAGGCCCGTTTCGGCACTGCCACTGCCGCGGCCACCCCCCGTCAGGGCCACCGACTCGGGCGACGGCGGTAGCGATCATAGCGGTAGCCACGCGTCCAAGCCTGGCGGCGTGCATAGCCAGATTGCCAGAAGGTCCGTATATTTAAAGGCTGCCGCCTCTGCCGCCGACCCCAAATGGGGTCTTGTGTTTTCTTTGTTGTCCGGGTCGTTGCGAGCGGTTCCCGCAACTGCGGGGGAGAGAGGAGGGTGGTATTCAGTTTGAGTAGATGACGATGCGGGCAGCACTGCAGCGTGAACGCGATACGGGACGAACGGGAGCTTGGGTTGACTGCGCTTGTGTGTGTGTGTGCGTGTTGTGTGTGCGTGTGTTAGATTCCGCCTCTCTCTCTCTCTCTCTCTCCCTTGAGCAGCAATTTCTCATCAAAAAATGGTCTCGCCTGTTTTGGTTGACACTCGGCCTCGGATTGTATTCTTCGGGGCCGTTTTCTGGCCCCGGGGCCGTTTTCTGGCCCCGGGGCACGTTCCGTGTGATATGTATCGCATGATTGTATCTACGTAGCATTCTTGGCCTGCTATGGCAGGAGGAGACGGACGACGATGACGACGACGACGACGACGATGACGACGATGATGGCGTCGACGACGACGACGCCTGAGACATCCTCGGAATACTGGGCTCAGATCTGCCGTGGGCTGAGGTGGTCCAGCCAGTCTGGCCTGAGCCTGAAACGTCCTCGCAACTCTGGGCTCAGCTACGCCCTGACCTGAGGTGATCCAGCCAGTCTCGCCTGACACATCATCGCAACTCCGGGCTCAGAGATGCCGCTCACGAGGCGGCTCGTTTCGCCTGAGGCATCCTTCCAACTCTGGGCTCAGACATGTCCGGTCCTGAACAGCTCGGACAACGGCATGTTGGGGTCACAGATACGACCAGACTACGCCGAATCTGTGACCCCCGACGCCACTGTCTTGGGGGCTTCTTGAGAGGCCTCAGGGGGTGTCGTGGAGCTCTGGAGCGAGCCCAGGGAGGGCCAATCTCCCCCTGGTGAGTTTAGCGGGGGACGGGGGGGCTTTCAGCGGACGGGTCGGTGTGAAGCGTTGGTCCAGGGGGGAAGCCCTGGGGTCCAGTCCGTGGCCTGTTTCCCTCGGGATCCAAAAACCGGTGCGTTCGGGGATAACCGTTGGGATCTTGGGGGGGGGGCTTCTCGCCGGCCTCTTGGAGGCTGTTTCGAAGGCTCTCGGGGGCCGATTGAGGGCCTCTTTTGGGCCTCTTTTTGTTCTCTTGGGGCCCTCTTGGGGAGGTCTTGGGGCCTCTGTGGGGCGTCCTGGGGCCCTCTTGGGGCGGAAGGCTGGATTTTTCCGTTCGTGGTCTTTCTCAGGAGCCCCTCTTGGGCCCGCCTCGGTAGCCTCTTGGGCTGCTTGAGCGGCTCTTGGGCCGTCTGGGGGCCCTCCTGCGCTGTCTGGGGGCCCTCTTGGGCCGTCTTGGAGGCGTCGTGGGGGGTCTCTTGGGCCGTCTTGGAGCGGTATTGGGAGTCTCTTGGGCGGTCGTGGAGCGTCGGCAAGCCGAAAAGGTGAAAATGCCAAAAACATTGAAAAAACAAGGAAAATCAACGATTTTGGCTTCTTGGGGCCCTGTTTGGAGGCTTCTTGGAGGTCTCTTGGGGCGTCTTGGAGGTCTCTTGGGGCGTCTTGGAGGCTTCTCGGAGCCTCTTCGAGGCCTCTTGGGGCGTCTAGGCGGCCTCTTGGGGCATCTTGGAGGCCTCTTGGACCGTCTGGGAAGCTTCAAGGTGCCCTCTTGGCCCGTTTTGGAGCCCTCTGCCCTCCCGTGGCGCGTTCGTACCGGGCCCGGGGAAGGGGGGTCAAATCTCCGGTTCGGGGTCCCTGGGGGGGGATTATGGGGGGGGAACAATCTCACACGCCTAGAGACCCACAAGGGGTCGGCGGATTTCGATGGTCGGCAACTCTTTTTTCCCAAGCGGGATTCTCTCATGAATGCCCGGCCCACGAGGCGCCCGTCTTTCAAGGGGGGGCACTTCGGCTGTGAGAAAAGAGTGCTTGTAGGGTATATGAGGGGGAACATTGGATGGGGGGGTGTACTGCACCATTGCCAATGCATCTGGGCTTGCTCTGGCCCCCCAGGAGGCCCAAGAGACCCCAGGAGGAGGCAGGAGGCCTAAGGAGGAGGCAGGAGGAGCAGGAGGAGGAGGAAGAGGAGGAGGAGGAGGAGGAGGAGGAGGAGGAGGAGGATGGGGGGGAGGAGGGGGAGGAAGATGGAGACGAGGAGGAGGTGGAAGCGGATGAGGGAGAGGGAGAGGAGGAGGGACAGGGAATGAGGAGGAGGAGGAGGAGGAGGAGGAGAAGGAGAAGGGAGAGGGAGAGCAGGAGGAGGAGGCAGGAGGCAGGAGGGGCAGGGGGAATGGGGGGAGGAGGTATAACGAGGGGGAGGGGGGAGGAGGTGGAGGAGGTAAGAGGAGGAGGAAGAGGCAGGGGTTGAGGCAGGAGGAGGATAAGACAGGAGGAGAAGGAGGAGGCAAGAGTAGGAGGGAGAAGGGAAACGGGCAGGAGGACACCCCCAGGCAAGCTAAACAGATTCTCGTGTGGGGTCTTTCCGTCGGAGTAATTTTGTTATGATTGTTCGTGCTCTTTTGGCCTACTCTGGGCCTCCTCGTCGCCACGGCTGGATCTGCCTCGAGATCTCGGTCCGGGCGCAGCCCCAGATTGGTCCCGCGGTCGACTCTTGACCCTTGGACCCCGATCTCCGACGATACGTGTTTCGTCAATCCCGGCAGTTCTCCCTCGATTTCGGCCTCCGAGGTGTGTTTTCGAGCGCGGGGACCATCAGAAACGGATCCGGGATGAAAAAGTACCCTGCAGGGAGGGGGTCGGGATTTCTGGGGAGGCCTGAGAAGCCCAGGGGGGATCCCCGACTTCTCGTCGTCGGCGTCGGCGTCGGGGTCGGCGTCGTCCTCGTCCTCGTCCTCGTTCTCGTCGTCGTCGTCGTCCTCGTCGGTGGCTTCCGGGGGCCTCCGGGGCCGATCTGGTACATCTCGGGCCACCCTTGGAGCTGTCTTTGGGCCTCTTGAGGCTGTCTTGGGGGCAGGGCTCTATCCAGACGGTGTTTTGTGTTTTCGCGGACCGTTTTCGTTTCGATTTGGTATTGCAGCAAAGGCGAAGCGAAGACACAACGAAAGAGAACGAACAACAAACCGAACACGCAAAACACTGTGTAGGTCGAGCCCTGTTGGGGGCATCTTAGGGCTGATCCCTGCTGCTCCGCCGCTCGTGGCCGCCGCCGCCGCCGTCGGCCACGTCGTTGTCGTCGTGGGCGGTGCGGGTCCAGTCGAGAGTGGAACCTCTAACATCGAAGGACCGTGGCTCGAGGCTTTCGGGCCGCCTTCGAGGGGCCCCCCTCGTTGGCGCGGCGGGGGCTCCCCTAGTCGTCGTCGTCGTCGTCGTCGTCGTCGTCGTCGTCGTCGTCGTCGTCGTCGTCGTCGTCGTGGTGGCCCCCCTCGTCGTCGTCGTCGTCGTCGTCCGCGGTGGGACGTCTTCGCGCCGTGGCGAAGGGCGCAGTTTTCGGGTCTTCGGGGCCTTCAAGGGCTCCGGGATGTCAGAGAACGGCTCAGGGCGAAAAGCTGGTCCGGGGGAAGTGGCCCAGACACTCTCCAGAAATCACGACGTCGAATCTCCAGGTTCAACGAGACGTTAGTTTCTTCGGAGTGTGGGGGCCGTTTCTGGCTCCTGGGCCGTCAGAAATCCATATGTATGAGTCTGGGGAGGTTGACGAGGATGAGGAAGAGGATGACGAGAGTGAGAACGTGGACGAGGCTGGGGAAAACGAGGACGAGTAGGAGGAGGAGGAAGAGGAGGAGGAGGAGGAACAGGAAGGAGGACGAGGAGGAGGAGAGGAGGAGGAGGAGGAAGAGGAAGGAGGAGGATGATGAGGAGAAAGAGGCGGTCATGAGCACGAGTAGGACGATGGTGACGATGATGATGGTGATGGCGATGGTGATGATGAGGATCACGACCATGATGATGACGATGATGATGATGATGATCATGATGAGGATTAGGAGCAGGAAGGGGATGATGATGAATATGATGATGGTGATGAGGGGGATGGGGATAATGATGAGGATGAGGACGAGTAAAATGATCATGGTAATGATGATTATTGCCTCGCTCGCTCGGAAGCTCCTGAAAGGAGGAGAAAGAGGAGGAGGACGAAGCAAGGAGAGGGAGGAGGAGGAGGACGCAAGGAGGAGGAGGCTGGGGAGGAGAATGAGGAGGGAAGAGGAGGAGTAGGAGGAGCAGGAGGAGCAGTAGCAAGAGGAGGAGGAAGAGGATGACGAGGATGAGTGCGAGGACGAGGCTGAGGGGGATGAGGACGAGGAGCAGTCGGAGGAGGAGGAGGAGGAGGAGGAGGATGAGGAGGAGGACGACGTGGTGGGGCCGCAAGGCGGCTCAGCAACATGGTAGCGGAGCGATTCAATCCCGCACAGTAGCGCCGATCGGCAGTTCACCGTGTGGTGGGGTCGACAGGCCGTTCATCAGCGCAGTTGTGTCGAGAGGCCACGTCCCGCCCGGTAGCTCCGAGAGGCAGCGCCCTGCGTGGCAGTGCCGCCAGGCCAGTCACCACTATGGTAGCGCCGGCAGGCAGCTTTCTGCGTGGTAGCGCCGCGAGGCAGCTCACCGCGTGGCAGCGCCGCCAGGCCGCTCACCATTGTGGTCGCGTCGAACGGCGTGCCACCACGGGGTAGCGCCGAAAGGCAGCTCACCGCGTGGTAGCGCCGATGTCCCATTAGGAAAGTGGTAGCGCTGTCAGGCAGTTCACCGCGTGGTAGCACCGAGAGGTAGCTCACCGCGTGGTAGCGCCGACAGGCTCATCACCAATGTTGCCGTGCCGGAAGTCAGGCAGCCGAGTGGAAGCTCCGAGAGGTGTGACCGCGTGGCAGCCCCGACAAGCGCCCCACCAGCGTGGTAGTGCTGCCAGGCAGCTCTCCACGTGGAAGCGCCGACAGGCAGCTCACCACGTGGTAGCGCCGGCAGGCCGCTCACCACGCCGGAAAGGGGACGCCGAGTGGGCCCACTTGTGGTTCGTGTCGTGCTGGCACCCGTCCCAGTGCTGTTCCCAATCCTGGGGGTCAAGGTCGTTGTGCTGCTGTTCGTCGTGGTGAGCCCATGTGTGGTCCTGGTAACTTTTGCACTGCTCAATGTCGCACTGGTTTTCCCATTTGCGGTGCCTGGTGTGCTGGTACCCGTGATAGTGCTGGTCCCACCCGTGGTGGTCGAAGTAGTCATGTGTCTTCGTACTGCTGGCCCTGCTTGTGGTACTGATACCGGTTGTGTTGTTCACAGGCATACTGATCGTCCCACTAGAGGTATGTGCCGTGCTGGTACCCGTAGCAGTGCTGGGCACACTCGTGGAGGTGAAGGCGGTCGTGTTGCTTTCCGTCATGCTGGTTCCACCTGTGGTAGTTGTACCGTCTGTGCTGCTCAGAGTCACAGTGCCGGTCCAACTCCTGGACGACGAGGTAGCCGTGATTCTCTCCGCCGTGCTTGTCCCACTTGTGGTACTGTTACTGGTTGTACTGCTTATTGTCGTGTTGCTCGTCCCACCCGTGGGGTCTGTCGCATTGGTACCCGTCGCCGTGCTGTCCTCACTCGTAGAGATAAATGTACTCGTGTTGTTCTTCGTCGTGCTGACCCCACGTGTGTAACTGGTACTTCTTGTGCTGCTCACTGTCGTGCTGCTCGTCCCACTAGCGGTTTTTTGTCGTGTGCCGTGCTGGTACCCGTCACAATGTTGTCTCCCCCATCTTGGAGGTCGAGGTAGTCGTGCTGCTCTCCGTCATGCTGGTCCTCTTTGTGGTCATGGTACCGTTTGTTCTGCTCGGCGCACTTATGGTATTTGTCGTGCTGGTACCCGTCACAGTGCTGTCCCAGTCGTGGTGGTCAAGGTCATCGTGCTGCTCTCCGTTGCGTTGGTCCCACTTGTGTTACTGGTACTGGTGGTGCTTCTCGTTTTCGGGCTGGTCGTCCCACCAACGCGCGACCTGAACACTGCTGTGCTATATGCTTGGAGTGTCTTGGTTTGGTGTTTTCGTTCCCCTTCGGAAAGTTGTAGCGCCGTCAGGCAGCTCACCGCGTGGTAGCACCGAGAGGTAGCTCACCGCGTGGTAGCGCCGACAGACTTATCACCAATGTTGCCGTGCCGGAAGTCAGGCAGCCGAGTGGAAGCTCCGAGAGGTGTGACCGCGTGGCAGCCCCGACAAGCGCCCCACCAGCGTGGCAGTGCTGCCAGGCAGCTCTCCACGTGGAAGCGCCGACAGGCAGCTCACCACGTGGTAGCGCCGGCAGGCTGCTCACCACGCCGGAAAGGGGACGCCGAGTGGGCCCACTTGTGGTGCGTGTCGTGCTGGCACCCGTTCCAGTGCTGGTCCCACTCCTGGGGGTCAAGGTCGTTGTGCTGCTGTTCGTCGTGGTGAGCCCATGTGTGGTCCTCGTAACTTTTGCACTGCTCAATGTCGGACTGGTCTTCCCATTTGCGGTGCCTGCTGTGCTGGTACCCGTGATAGTGCTGGTCCCACCCGTGGTGGTCGAAGTAGTCATGTGTCTTCGTATTGCTGGCCCTGCTTGTGGTACTGATACCGGCTGTGTTGTTCACAGGCATACTCATCGTCACACTTGAGGTGTGTGCCGTGTTGGTACCCGTAGCAGTGTTGGGCACACTCGTGGAAGTGAAGGCGGTCGTGTTGCTCTCCGTCATGCTGGTTCCACCTGTGGTAGTTGTACCGTCTGTGCTGCTCAGAGTCACAGTGCCGGTCCAACTCCTGGACGACGAGGTAGCCGTGATTCTCTCCGCCGTGCTTGTCCCACTTGTGGTACTGTTACTGGTTGTGCTGCTTATTGTCTTGTTGCTCGTCCCACCCGTGGGGCCTGTCGCATTGGTACCCGTCGCAGTGCTGTTCTCACTCGTAGAGATAAATGTACTCGTGTTGCTCCCCGTCGTGGTGACCCCACGTGTGTAACTGGTACTTCTTGTGCTG